CAGAGAGGTCAAAAGCTTCATTACACAATTGAAATCATGATGTAATTCTGTACGTTCAGTGATGAGATATTGTACGTTTTGGATTTTCTGAACAACAAAAGGTTGGGGGTGGGGATTTCGAATTTCTATCTGGTCATATGATAATCAGCAACAGAGTAAGAAATTAAATCTGTGAGTTGGTACAGTATTGAACTTGATTTGATTTGCATAAATTACTAGTGAGGGATTTTATTTTCATAAATGTAGATTAGATTTGTTAACGTTTGAACCAACTCAAATCGATTTTCTTTTATACTTTTGGGAATATATAGGGGACTGGAGGATTGGTATTGGTTACTTGATCTGGAAAAAGAAAGTACATGTAAAAAATAAACCAGACGAAACCAACACTGCCTTGAAATCAATGCTCTTCAAATAAGCAAACCTCCAATAGTATCTTTAGAAATGATCGGCGTTTTAAAAGAAAAGGCATTGCATATTTAGCATGTATCAAGTAAGCAAACCTCCAATAGTATCTTGTTCATGGTTATCCCATCAGAATTGATGAAGTCCACATCCTCCTTAGGCAGGCCACAATCATGTAGCAGCCGAAGCATCTGCTCCATCACAATGCTTACCTGTTACAGTCATAGATAATATAGAAACATAAAGTGAGAATTACAAAAGCCACACACTATCAACCGTTAACTGATAAGGTAGTAGATAAAATCAATAAACATGCATACATCCTTACTTATAATCCTGGATTACATGCATATGTACTTACCTTGCTATCAACTTTAAGAGTTGGCTTATTCCCCATGTAAAGTGCACCCATCAGTTGTAATATGGGAATCTCCAACGGGAAGTTAAAGGGAGTGATAATTACAACCTGCGAGTGTGAAAAGTATAACATCAGCATTCTAGTTTCCCTACCTACAAGAATAAAGATAAAAGAGCAATAAAGAATAAACAAAATTCGCAAGAATATGTAATGAAATTATAAAGGGCATTACGATGCACACCTTAGTAGCTACAATATATAAGCTTTATTGTTTTATTAGCACTCAGGATATAGTTTAGAAGTTCTAATTCCTAGTAAAAAATGATTACCAACAGGTTCTTTTTCCTAGTACTAAAGAAAGCTCTAGCCAAATTACAAAAGCAACAAAAGGAAGGAAAAGATATTGGTTTTATCATGAGCTTAAAACAAAAGACTTACAGGACCATACGGCCAACGGTAGCCATTACTTTGCTGCCCAAGGTGGTTACCAGGTACTGCAAATGACCGAGCTAGGAAGCGAACCTGTCAAATCAGAAATGTACATAACAAGACCAGTAAGATTTAAAAAAAGAAAAGTCAGATAAACAATTATATACAATCTAACATCTAAAATTGTTACCTCTTAACCAGGAATAAATAACTGAATCTAAAGTTTATATACAGTCAACATTATTTGCTCAAACCTTTTATCTTTCTAGATAGGAAAGGCTGCTTGCATCGGAGGCCTATGCAGAATTCCAAGCTCTATGACTTACCATGCCAACTCAGAATAATTTGAAGTGATTTCTACTATCCATATTCTCCATAAAGTGCCAAAGATTGAAAAAGATGCAGAATTGTAACTTTGGGCAAAATCTTAATTTTGTGCATATTTGGATTATTTGGCCCTTTGAGGATGTTCAAATACTGTTAGGCAAGGTGAAGTAGAAGGTATAAGTACTTTTAATTCTTTGCTTGTGTCAAGCACCCAAAATTTACTCAGTATTAATTCAGATCCTTTAATTATACCCAAGACCTGTGTTATTGCAAAATTTTGGTTGGAAGCAATCCAATGAAACCAATGTATTGCATATAAATTTTCTTCCCACTCTTTTTTGCAACATTTATAATCCTAGGATGAACTCATAAATAAGCCAATAGAACTTCCAAAGTGAAAGAGAAGCATGGTCTGTGAATAACTCAATGCACTGGAGCCAGATACTTGACAACATTTAAGATGATCAAAGTTATGTATGATAAGTCCAAGTACTCAAGAAGCAGTAGATCTATACCTGATCTCCCGAAAAATTTTCCAAGAATTTTTGGGTAACTTGGACTTCAGCGAGAGCTTGCGTGTAACTCTTTGGAGAAACTCTCTGAATAAGCCTTGAGAAGAATTTTGCAACCTAATGCACATCATTGAGTATCATAAGATTCGTATGTGGAAGCTCTGAGATTCAAAATTGTTTTTGAACAGGCATATTACTGTACAGACAGTAAAGAAATCTGGAAGTACCTCAGGTTGTGCAAGCATATGAGCAGCTTTTGCAGATATATCTCCAAACATAAGATATCTGTCAAATATTATCTTTTAGAGTCAAACTGAGAATTTTAGCAAAGGAGAAATCATACAGAAGCCAATGAGTTGTATGAATGGGATGCTTGGTTAGAGTTGGTAAATAATAAAGAAAAATTAATGATGGTTGGAGTGCTGGATTACACGGTCAACTCACCATATCAGATGATGCTCTCTAATTAGTTTAGGAAATATAACAGGGTTGGCGCTATCATTTGACTTTGACATTCTGACAAACATTTTCACATACAGATTTGAGAAACAATGTAAGGATGAGAACACCATAAACACATGAACTTCTATTAACAAAGGCAGGTCTATATGAGTTTCACAAGTAAGTTCAGTGCATAGAAGTTGGGATCGTGGGACGCTATATCAAACCACGACACGGTTTCATTCGTCCCAGATTCACATGAAACTCGACTTGATTCACCAACTCCAATGACTTGATTTAGAATTCAAATCAATTACTTAAAAAAAACACTTTTAAAAAAATAAAAACCGAAAACGTGAGAAATAAGCAAATAAAAGTATGCATATCTTAATTGCAACATGATTCTTAAGGTTCTTTTACCATTAATGATATCAACTAGCATTTAAGAACCAAACCTAAAACGTAGCGCTTTCCCTGACGTATCACTTAAGTCTACCCCCTCGTACCCCATTCCTAACGAGTGGCGTACCACGTTCCCCTACCCGTCCCATGAACCGGAATGTACCGGGATCCATGCAACTATGGCTCAGGGTGTAAGCTCCAATTCCAAAAAATTTCTTCTTTGGTTAAAATTTTCAGTTTGACTAAGAACAAGATTGATAGTGTGGGCTTCAATTTTCATGGTCTACCAGAGATTTCTCTATCATCTGGGTTTGCATTTATGTGTGCAAATATGTGTTCGCATATGACTGCAATGAGCATTTGGAGGGATGCCTATAAAAAAATGAACATGTATTTATACTTTCCCTAAAAGTCACATATGGGTGGTTTTTACAACACTAGAGAGAAGGAAACCTTTCTGGAGCTCTGAGTGGGTTATGTAGCCCATATTTTGGGCAGTTGGACAAGCTCTCCACGAATGGCTGCAGATAAATATGACAATGGTTAGAATTTTAAAAAGTTACAAAGACCACTAAATTATAATTTTGAAGCACTGAGTTAGTCTTTCAAGGGCTATACAAACCCGGGGGAAAAAGAACTAAAATTTGGTTTCATTTTCTTATTGAATTGTTGGCACTGAAAGGAACCATTTCCCACATGTTGTATACCTTTATTTCTGCCTCCTGAACTTCTGCGACATTGATGAATGGCTGTCCATTCAAGGGATCGAGTATTGCATTCCAATTTGAAGACGCCTTCCATTTACCCTGAACTATAGACATAACCGCCATTAAATTCTTTGTCAATCTATCTTGCAAGAAGAAAAGAAAATTAAAATTTCCAAGCCTTTACACCATCATTAACCACAAAACAATTCAGAAAAGGAAATGGTAGAGTATCCTATCCAAAATAAAGCATATAATTTATACAGTAATGAATAAAACATTTTACATCTGGATTCAGTGTCGAGTAACCATATTTTGCATAAAGAAAGTTTCTTAATGTATAGCTTCATGTAGAATCTGGGTGATAGACTCAAAAACACTTTTGCCTATATGATTGAGGAATCAGATTAGTTTTGGGGCTCTTAACCCCAATTCGTCTCTACCTTTATCCCCATTCTCTATATGCACCAATTCCATTATCAAGGTTACATATATCAGATAATACAACCACTGAAAATAATAATAATAGTAATAATGCTAGTGCAGTAAATTTCAAATTTTGAAGGGCTTAAACTAAGGATTTGTTGATATTGGAAATGTTATAAATGTACAAGGGTCAAGTTGAGTCACATGATCCTCACATGCGGCCCACGTGGCTGCCAACGTGGCGATAATTAGAATCAACTAAATTGTTAAAAGAGGTTTTTTTCTAACATAAGGGCTCAAATTTAGGGTTCAAATTGGGGATTTTTAGTTCTTTTTCCTCTTAGCATTAAATTGGCTAGGGCAACTGAAATTGGAGTTAGATTCTTTATCCTGAAGTTCTTGCTCAAGCTTAGGCTTAAGTATAAGTATGGAAGAAGCAAACTAATAGCTCAATGGAGATGAATGTTCAAATTGGGTATTTCCCGCCTTCTTTGAGCTACCCTGCCACCTAAGCCCACTTTATCTACATCAGCTACATGTAAGGAGTCACGTGACTCAATTTAGCCGGAGTTTTAGCTCCGGCCAAAATACAGGCTAATTTGTTACTGTAGTCCACATAATATACCAATTTGTTGCCGGAGTAAGAAAATATACCAATGTGTTACTAATGGCCAACAAAATATACCAATATGTTAAATTTGCCGTAACAGTGCACATAAGCATGATAGAATGAAGTAGTAGCCTACCCAAGTTCAGAACTTCTGCAGGCTGAGAGCCTGAAATCTCTTCAGCAGCCACGGTAGCAAAAGCTGGCGAGTGTATGGATCTGTGCACAGTAAAAAATGTGTGAGTCTGGTAATGTTAGAACTCAAAAAATTACAAGCACTTGAAAATTCTCAACAATGGTAAAAACCCACAGCCAAAATCATCTGATTTAAATAATCCATCAGCTAAAAAACCAAAAATAAAAATAAAAAATTTAAGTGATATAAGTTAAATGACCTTGATGCATAGGGAACTGAAGTAGTGAGCGAGCCAATAGCGGCCCTGATTCCTCTTGAAGAACTCAATCTCAGCATTGTAGCGCGAAGAAAGTGGAGGAAGAAAGGCGATCAGATTTGAGCACAGTGATTTTGACCAATGAATGTACAGAGAGAGAGAGAGGGGCAGCTGTAACCTTTTGCTATTTCGAAATTTATAGGTTCAGGACATTATTCTCTCGGCCCATTCTGCAGTTGGGCCTTGGAGAAAAGCGCTTTCTGACTTTGAAATTGGTAGAATATCTGAAATTCGCTGAAAAATAGAAAGTGCCATTTTGTCCTTCTATATATTATTTATTTTTCTTTAACTGTTATATCTCTTGACAAAATTTTCCATCCTTTTCCCTAATCTGATCTTTTCTGGGGGGCTCCCTCCTCCTTCCTAATTTAGTTCAATATTGCATATTATTTCCCGTTTTCCTATATTTTGTGAGAAATTTTCTTTTTCATTGACATGATTAACTGAAGGGTTTTTCTAAGGGGTGCCCTAAGGCACCGTTAATTTGGATAAAAAATGGCTTACTTGCTCATTCCCCTTAATTAGCGCTTAATTGATTAATTTGATAATCAAGTTTCCATTAAATGCTGGATTCATGTGCATATTGCTAAGGATAAAAATAAGATTAATTAAATGAATAAATTCCAATTTTCTCTTTCTTACTTCCCTCCAAGTAATATTTTCGACCCAAATATAATTGACGATTAAAACTGAATTTCTCTTCACTTTTACTTTCACTTTCACTGAAACAAATTTAAAATAACAGAATCTTCATCCATTAAAGAGAAGAGTTCAATCCCACTAGACCTCCAAGATAAGTATAATATAATTTTTTATTTTCTGCTTATTTTTCACATAAATACGCTCTTCATATAATGTTTTATTCATTTTTTTTTCATTATGCATTAATATGATAATAGATGGATTGGTTAAGCTAAACTTTAAGTAATGTAAGTATAACTGAAAAATCATAGTTTAACAATAAGTGATATATATAAGTTAAACAATGTATTCCTTCAGGAAAAAAAAACATTATGAAAATGATATGCGCATATTATCATAATTCAATTGACAAATCATTGTGCAAACGAAAATTTTGTGCTTATAATCTTTGCGTAGTTCATGCAATCACATGGCTTCAATTATTTTTGGAGGAAAAATATTATTTGAAGGGAATTAAAAGAGAAAAATATATTTTATTTATTTATGTATTTATTTTACTTTTATCCTCATTAATGTGTACAAGAATCTGGCATTTAAGGGAAATCTGATTGTCAAATTGGCCAATTAAGCTCTAATTAAGGGGAATGAAGTAATGAACAAATATTCTACATTTGATCCAAATTAATGGCTGCCCTAGGGACACCCGTCAGAAAACCCCTTAATTAAACTAGAAAAAAAACTCATAATTTAGTCAATTAATTGTAGTAGATTTATTACTCACTTTAGAGTTCTTTTTTCATCATCCAAAGACCTATTGTTGATATGTATGGATTCTAATCCACTCCGCTATGGAAAAAAATAGCAAAGAGATCCTTGGTTTAGTTTCAACCATTCGCAGACTAATGTATGGTTGTGATTTCTCTAATTTAGTGCAAAATAGGAAATGATACAATGCATTAGATATGGTAAAATGCTTTGTTCAGAATAAATCACAACTCTCACCACTGTTCATTAAACAATCAATGGTTGAAATTAAAAGCATCGAGCTCTCTACTGTTTTTTTTAATGATAGTGAGAATCCAAATTAGAAGTAAAAACATTTTAAAATTTTGTTATAACTTCATAGTATTTGGATCCTCTCCAATTAGGTGATAATTGAAGAGTATCCAATTAGTTGAATCTCTATCATTCCTTCTAATTTTAAGGGTTGAGATTATGCCACGCATGATTTTCAGTATTGTAAATGATTGCTCAATAGTAATTTTCAAGATAATAGTGGTTTTCAAGGCAACGGCGGTAATTCTACGTGACATCATCTCATCCCTTCCAGGAGGAATAAAGGATTGAAGGAAATATAGGGTAAAAATTGATGTAATTGGACACTTTTCAATTTCCACATAATTTGAGAGGATCTGTATCATCTAGCTGCATTTTCTTTCCTTTGAGGTTGAATGAAAAAGTGACCATGAGTTTAAAAGTGGGCAAACAATATCTTTTTACAAAAATATGTTTATCTTTGAAGTACGGGTTGATGATATTTGCTCTCCGCACTAAAACACCGATATAGTTATTAAATTTTGTCGACCATTGTCCTATCGGTAAATTATCGGCCTACTAAAGAATAGCTCGAAAGCCTTTTGGTGCTTGTTTCGAATAAGACTTGCTTGCACCTCGTCCATCTTGACCATTAGGATAATGTTCACACCTATAATGACAACAATATGTTTAGTACAAAAGTTAAGTGTAAAATTCAGATGTGATAGAAGGAAATTATTATATTTACCTTTATCCACTTGTTTATTCTTCTTGACGATTACAACATCCTTTCTAACTTGCATCATAGGCTCCATGTCATCTAGCCTTTTTAATGAAAGTGGATGATTCTTCATGGCATTAGATTTTGATATCATCTAGGTTGGAGGTAATGGTAGATGGCTAATGTCAGGAGTCTTGGGATGTAACTCGGCCCCCGCTGTATTATATGAAAATGATGTGTCCGCGAAGTATCTACATAATTAAAGAAGATAATCAATATGAGAAAATTAAAGTATCACTAAAAAAGATTCTATAAAAATTGAATTATTACTATCCAATACCTATAGAGGGGGATGATGCTAACTGTGCATCAGCAGGTCTGAGTGACGAATAATCTACGCTTGGAATGTTATCTATAAATATAAAAAATAATTGATACAAACAATATCATAAATAATAAGGTTCTAATTTAAAAATGATTGAATTATCAATACAGATGCTGAATTATTAATAGTTATATGAAGATATTTTGATAGGGATGTGTCCCGAAGATGACCCGATAATGAAATATTTGTTAGGGATTCAAAACAATCAAATCAAACCCTTGCCCTTCCGGACCTTGTGTTTGAGAGTAGGAAAGTAGGAAAAATCACAGCAAATATAAGATAAAAACTTACAGGAAAGTAAACAAGAAAGAACACACCAGATTTAACGAGGTTCGGTAATCATGCCTACGCCCTCAGGAGCCATACCACACAATTCTTTAATTAATATTGAAGAAGATTAAAATGCCCACAAATAGGATCTAATCTCTCTGAGATCTCTCTGAAGAATTCTCTCAAAACCCTCTTTTTCTGATGTCTAATCTCTTCTAAGGCGTTCCATATATATAGAAAATCTAAAACCAAAATAGACTAGGAATTCTAAAACCAAAAAGCAAAATAGATTAGTAATCCTAATAACTTGTTACCAAAACAAATTAAGAATCATTTTACCAAAATAGATTAAGAATCCTGTTACTAAAACAGATTAGGAAACCTGCTATCTAACAATTTATTTGATTCCATCTTTGAGTCTACATCCCTTAGACTAACAATATTATCTACACATATAAAGAAAATACTTAGCAAAAACATATCGAGAATGTCTATTTTGAGTTGTCCAAAGATAATGCATAATTCATACATATATGAGTAGGCGATGCTAGGTGTGCCTCTTGAAGACGACCTGATCCTGGGGTGGTAGACTATGATCGATCACACGATCAATCAAAGAACATTGAATTTTTCATCTGTAAAATTAAATTATGAGATGAAAAATAAGAAATATGTACATGCTAACAAGATTAATGTCTTATTGCAATTCAATATTTAAATAAAATTTTGTATGACGAAAATGACTTTTACTGAATATACCTTCTACAACTAGCTCTTTATGTTTTGCACGAGATCGTGTTTGTATTATTCTGGCTATATTTAACATTGTTTGTTTTCGCCTACTAATTGTTGACTTTGTTTGCACATCTGACCCGGAGTCTCTATCTGTGATTAGAATTGGGATGTCAGCTTGAATCTCTGAATCAGTCATATCAAGCATGACATTCTGAGGGTAGGAGAAGTTTTGCCAAATATCATCAGATGAACCAATTGGTTCATTATCCTCATCAATATCATTGTTATTATTTGGAAGATTAATAGATCTTGGCTCCTTATATAACACGACCCAATCGGTGGCAACCTTTGAGTCTTTCACATAGAAGCATTGGTCTACCTGTTCTGCAAATATGAACTTGTTATCTAGATATATTTCTTTGTCGAGATTAACAAGAGTAAGCCCATAATGATCCTTGTGCGGTTTAGCAAGACTCCATCAAACCTTAAACATAATGTAACTACACTAAGTTTTTTTTTACCATATTCGTAAATTATCTCTACAATATCTTTCAACTGGCCATAATATAATATATCAGCTTAGAACTGGGTTCTGATCTCTTCTGCTAGAAAAACATTCCTGAGCGAAACAACCCATGACCCTGCTGTTCTGTGTTACCCTCTTATCATTGGTCGCAACTGTTTTAAACTTATACATATTATTGGTGTGTTCATTGCATTGTTTCACTTCATAGTAAGGACGTTGTGCGTGAACTAAAATTTCTTCAGATATTAAAGTACCAATGAGAAGGTATTTATCAACCTAAACCCAACATCAATAAAAAATAATGATATTCAAGTTTGCTAAAAAATTTAAAAATGAAAAATACAATACTAATGCTATGCTACTTACATTAGTTCTGAACCAATCAGAAAAATATTGATATGTTTTTTCTGAATATCATGTGATGCATACATGTTATTTTATTCTTAAGCTTCTCCAGATGTTGCCTATTTATACAACAACCAGATTGTATTGGTATAATAAAAGTAAATGATTCACGGGTGTTCATATTCTTAAATTATTATATATTACCTTCGATAATCACTAAAAATTTCAAGATTATTCAATACATATGCATGAACATGCTCTAAGTCAAATCTTGGATATTTGATGAGCTTATTCTCCTTAGTTGGGGTCTGATAAGTTGTTACATGATTGCACATGTAATGTGATGCAAATATATGACATTTGTTGGTCACGTAACCTTCAGCCACAGAACTCTTTGGATGAGCTCGATTGAGAAGTAGGCGCTTCATAAACCCCAAATATCTACAATAAGAAAGCTTTA